TCACCCTTACACCCCCCCTCCCCCATGCTCGGGCCCCGACACCTGAGTGTCCAGCGCCTTGGTACGTCGTCCCTTCGTGAAAGGCGCTATATAAATGTAATTTTGTTGTTGTTGTTGTACCCAATCCTAATGAGATGTCATTGCAATCCTCTACGCTCCTCATTTCTGCATTTGCTTCTTTATTAAAATTCCTGCAGATCCAGGAAATGTTAAACCAGCAAAAGGTTTGTTTGTAATCCCGTTTATTGTGGGTTTTTTTAAAAAAAGGACCTTTTAATACTTGACTAGTGACCTGGAAGTCTTTTTATTACTTGTAACCCTGACCTGGGAGTGTGGACGCACAGTGTAGAGGAGCTTTACTGTGTCTCTAACCCTGACCTGGGAGTGTGGACGGATGCCCAGTGTAGAGGGTCTCTAACCTGTGCTGTGGCTGATCTGGGAGAGTTTATTCTGAGCTGTTGTTCAAAGGGAAGGAAAACGTTAGCAGTGCTACAGAAGTCAACATTTCGGTGATCGACCGGGCCATGTGTAACCGGAGAAAGGTTTACCTGGGACAGGTCACATGCTGTGTGCTTGGCCACCTGGAGGGCAAGGTGTGGCTCCTGTCAGATACTGAGAGCAACAGCCCACATTAAACAGCAGCCTCGCCTGCCAGCAACTCCACCTGATTCATTGCCAGTGAGTCAGAGATTAGTTTGCTTTCACTCAGATTGTGTAGGAGTGAAGCAGGAGGGAGAGAGGTGAGGAGAACTGTAGAGTAAGGCCAACATGTTCTGTGAACCAAACCCGGACACACACACGCACACAGAGATATATATATATAACAAAAACAGAAGTGGCTGGGAACACTCAGCAGGTCAGGCAGCATCTATGGAGAAAGGTAAGTGAGTCAACATTTCGGGTCCACGACCCTTCGTCAGAGGGTGGTCCGAGCTGGACAAGCAGCAGGAATGCTTGGCCAGACAGAGCTCATCCAGGGACTGTCCTCGGGAATCGGAGTATGTTCACTGTGCTCTAGTGACAGTCAGTCTGTCACAGTATCAGTGGTTCTGGTGCTGTGCGGAGGGTGTTTCAGTGTAAGATGTTGCTGGCGTGTGTGTGTGCCTGTGTGTGTGAGCCTGTGGATGTGTGCCTGTTTACGTGCCTGTGTGTGTGTACATGTGTGTGTGTTTGTGTCTCTGTGTGCCTGCGTATGTGTGACTGTCTCTCTGTGTGCGCCTGTAGGTCTTTGACTGTCTGTGTGTGTGTGTGTTTGTCTCTGGAGGTGGGGGTCGGTGGTGGGGAATGAAAAAACGCAAGAAAAGTTGTGCACTGAAACCTGCGGCATTTGCAAGTTTTATTTCAGTATAAAATATAGTTATTGATGCATACAAAAAAGTAAATATAATCTAGAATGACGTCTTTATACATCAGTGAAACATGCATAGATTTTCACTCTTTTTTGGCATTGAAATTAAACAAGGCAACTCAAACCGCGTCAGAATTGGATTTGACAATTTCATCCCCGACACATTTGTTATTGCTTCTGAGCTCAATGTGCAGAGGGTTAGTCGCTGTTTACGCTGCCCAAGTCTCTTTCAGTCACTGTATAAACTCGTGGGGGTTGGGGTTGGGGGGAGTAGGGCCAGCGAGGGATGGAGGGGGGCAGCGGTGCAAACTCACAGCGACGACGGCTCGGGGCAAACCCCAATCACCCTCTGAGGTGTTTTAGAACCTCAGGAATCCCGTATTTCTTATCGATATGATCAAGTAAGACAAATCCTGGCTCCGTAAAGCCACGTCACGTCTCAACGTCTCAAAGTGCTTCACAGAGATTATTGTAAAGTGTAAGTGTATTGTGACCGTGTTATTTGTGGGCAAAGGAACCTGTTAAGAAATACCACATATTAGAGGCCAGATGGGCTTTCCTTCTCATCCCCATCTCATCGATGATCAATTATTGAATATGTAAAACAAAAAAAACAGAACCAGGTATTTCTTAACAAGTTTTATAATAGCAAAACCGATCGGGTCTTGGTGATGTTTGGGAAATGTGCCGGAATTTGGTTTGGGATGTCCTCCCGACATGAAAGGCGCTTATACTCATGTGTGTTGTTGTAAGTGCTAGAAGATTTGGAAAACGCTAAACAGTTGCAAGTCCCCACCCTTTGGAACTCCATCCCACAGTCCCTTCGCTTCACTCCCTCCCTTGCCTTAAGACCCTCTCTTTGACTGCGTTTTCAGCCACCTTTCTACACCCACCCTCCCTGCCCTCCACACCCCCCTGATCCCAACCACCAACTCAGGTCCAAATCCCTGACTGTCCAGGGTCTTGGGACGTCCTCCCAATGAGAAAGGCGCTGTGTAAATGTCAGTTATTGTTTTCAATAGGAAATTGGTTAAGGAAAGCTTGCATGTTAAGAGCCCGTTTTTGTGTGCGTGGGCTGTGCTATGCTGGGGTAAGGGAAGGGGCTAAGAAGGCTGACTGGCAAATGGTGCCAGGCGTGTCTGTTGTATTGTTGTGTAGTGCCAGGTTCCTGAGCTCGATGCCCAGTCTCAATGCCAGCCCAGTCAGGTAGAGATACACATGGTCGAGCCCATGTCACTGTCCAATTGCACTTGTTGGAGGATCTTGCTTTCAGGAAGGCAGAGATGGGGATGGAATTAAGTGTCTGGCAAATATTTTTCTGGGGAGGGAGTATGTTTTTCACTTGGGACGATATCAGTGGCTCAATCCTCTTGTAAGGTTATTGCAAGGCACTCGATATGCTGTTACCCCACCCCCTGTCTTCCTCCATCTTGAACGTGGTCTGTCAAACGCTTCCTTTGCCATCACCCAACCCCCACCAACACACAGATACACACACACTCCCAGCGCCCAAGTGGTTGTTATCCACATATAAGTGTTGGTCAGTCATCTCTCCTCACCCAACTGCAACACACCTCAGGAGCAGTGACTATGTCTGATTATTCCAATCCCTCCCTATCCCCCCCAACCCCCACCTCCCGACCCCCCAAACCCCACACACACATCAATCCTGTTCAGCACAGATCGGGATGAGCTCCAGGTCTCTAAGCTGTCGTTCTCTCTCCACTACACCTTTGGGGGGGGAGGGGGGGGTCGCCCTGATCATTCATTCCTCACGTTCTGTCTCGCAATTCCCAGCTCAGGAAGCGTTTGTCAATCTTGCCTGTCGCTATGGGAACCTCCGGGCGTTGGAAAGGGAACGAGATGTCAAGACAGCGAGCGAGCGAGAGCGAGAGCGAGATGGTTGCCAGCCTTGCTCGCAGGTACGATGCCAAACTCCCAACGCCTGGGAGCTGCCTTTGGAGCTCAGAGTGAGAAAGCAAAGAGCTATGTGAGTATTAAGGTAGTAGATATTATCCTGAGTATAATAGCTCGACTTGTTTAATAGCGTTTCACATGCAGGGTGTGCGAGGTCACTCCGCCAACACAGACTCACGCGGCTCAACATTAAGGTTATTTTTTGTGGGGCGGAATTTTTTTTCTTATTTGCTGGCTGGTTTGAGGGCTGGAAACCCTTTCTCTTAGGATTTCCGAGCGAGCGGAATCGTTTTTGGCCAATTTCTTTAATAGAGTCGAGAGAGAGAGAGAAGGAACAATGGAAAGAGAGAGAAAAGTGAGAAAGGAGAGAGAGACGGAGAAAGGAGAGAGTATGAGAGGGAAGGAGAAAAGAGGGAAAGAGAGGGAGGGAGAGAGACGGGGAGGGAGGGAGGGAGGGAGGGAGGGAGAGAGGGAGACAGGGAGGGAGAGAACGAGAGAGACAGGGAGGGAGAGAGGGAGACAGGGAGGGAGAGAGGAAGAGGGAGAGAGACGTGGAGGGAGAGAGACAGGGAGAGAGACGGGGAGGGAGGGAGAGAGAGAGAGAGGGAGGGAGAGAGAGAGAGAGAGAAAGACAGGGAGGGAGAGAGGTGCCCAGGAATTGGAGTGGTTGTTGGCAGAGCGTTGGCTGAGGTGCGGAGGGCGACGTTGGCTGAAGGACCTCGGACACGTTTCTAGTTATTGTCTGAGCAGTTGCCCAGCGGTGGGTAATGTAAAGCTCAGCTTCTGCGGGCAGGCAGGACTGGGGAGGGGGAGCTGGATGCTGCACTTCCCCCACCCTCGTTGTTGCCCCTTCCCCTCCCCACCGCCCCTGGACATGCCCTGATGACCACCCCCCAGCCCAACACACATTTGGCAGAACCCATGACTCCTCGTGTCCGGGTCATCAGTGTATAGCGACAGCGAGGAGGGGGCGCGGGAAAGTTTCTGTGAAGTAACTTCAGGGAGAAGGAAGGGAAAGGGGGGGTGCGGTACGGACAGGGGAGGCGAGAGATGGGGGAATTAGATAAGGGGGGAGTTGGGGGTATTGCCCTGAGCTAAACGAGTAGCAACGCAGGGTGAAAGGTTAGAGTCACATCACAGCCTCCGTCTTAATAGGGACTGCATGGCTTGTACTGGAGACAGAGCTTGGTGGGGGTCATACTTGGGGGTGGGGGGCCGCACTGGGGGGGTGGGGGGGGCGCACTGGGCGGTGGGGGGGGCTGCAATGGGGGGGGGGTGCGCTGGGGGAGGGCGAACTGGCGGGTGGGGGGGTGCACTGGGGGGGGGCCGCCTCACTGGGTGGGGGCCGCCTCACTGGGGGGGGGGCCTCACTGGGGGGGGGCGCCTCAATGGGGGGAGGCGCGCACTGGGGGGGGAGGCGCGCACTGGGGGGGGTGGCGTACTGAGGTGGGACCGCACTGAGGAGGGGGGCGCACTGAAGGGGTGGGTGTGCACTGATGGGAGGGGTGCGCACTGAGGGGGGGGCGCACTAGGGGGGAGGGGGGCGCACTGGGTGGGGTGCACTGGGGGGGAGGGGGACGCACTGGGTGGGGGCGCACTGGAAGCGCACTGGGGGAGCGGGGGGCGCACTGTGGGCGTGGGGTGGGCGCACTGGGGGTTGGCGCACTGGGGGCATGAGGAGGGCGCACTGGGGCTTAGGGCGTATTGGGGGAGTTGGGGGAGGGGGCCTTTTGGGGGAGTGGTGTATGGAGTGGTGGGGGCGTATGGAGGGGTGGGGGCTTTGCAGACAATATTTTTGTGGTGTGCCTGAGCAAATCCCAGCTGAGCTCCCTATAGCTCCATTCCAAAGCAGATCCCACCCAAACCCCACCCTCCCCCCACCCCACATACACACACAGACCTGATTACATGCTTGCCCCCATTTCATTAGGGCTTTGTCTAGTAAGTGTGTGGCGGGTTACCTTGTGCACTGTGTTAGTGTGAGCCACAGACACATCCCCATTATTTCTAAGCATGAGAGGCTGGCTGTCAGTAAGCTGGCTGTTTGTGGGGTCTTCACGCCTTCGGCCGGCTTTTAAGGTCGGTGTTGGAACCGTAATGTCCGTTGTCGGTGTTGTCGTGGGCGGAGGAGTTAACCAGGCACTCATTCCTGGAGAAAGCACAGTCAGAGCGGTAAGGGAACGTAGAAACAGGAGGAGGCCATTCAGACCCTCGAGGCCTGTCCCGCTATTGTATAAGATCAGGGCTGATCTGTACCTCAACTCCAATTACCCACCTTTGCCCATGTCCCCTGACCCCCTGACCCCCTGACTTGACAAACATCTATCCACCTCAGACTCAGTCTGGACAATATAATGGATCCAGCCATAATCCACAGCCTTTTGCGGAGAGAGAGAGAGAGATTCCCATTGGCCTTTGTCTGGGTGTGAAAAACTGCCCCTGATTTCACTCCTAAATGGCTCTGGGAATGTGGGAGAGAGCGAGCAAGAGAGATAGAGAGAGGTATGTGTCAGAGAGCGAGACGAGGACAGTGGTGTTACCTCAGTCTGCGATCTGCCTTGTTAACATTCAAACGCGAGAGGAGAAGGGGAAGGGGGAGAGGGGGTTGGAGCTCAAGGGATTGGGTGGGGAGGGGAGTGGGGGAGTGTGTGTGCTGAGGGTTATGTTTTACCAGCTACTTACTTTTTTCCAACTCGCTTAATTAAAAAGACTACAAGCTTCTTAATAATCAGAATGACGATGATTAACCCTAGAAACGCTCCGATCCCAGCCAAGATCATGAAAGTCAACGTGTTGTCCACTTTGGCAACTGAAACAGGAAACAATTAATAATATTATAATAATCCTTGCATTTGATACAGCACCTTGTCACGTCTTTGAGGAGTCTCAAAGCGCTTCACAGGATACACTGTCAAGTGTAGTGTCTGTCTATTTAGTAGGCGGAACGCGGCAGCCAATTGCGCTCAGCAGTGAGTTGTTAACTCCACAAATCACACACACCTCACACACACACATACACACACACCCCCTCCCATATACACACACACACCCTCCCATATACACACACACACAAACACCTCCACACACACCCCCTCCCACACACACACACATACACACACACCCCCTCCCATATACACACACACACACACACACATATACACACACACACACCCTCCCATATACACACACACACAAACACCTCCACACACACCCCCTCCCACACACACACACATACACACACACCCCCTCCCATATACACACACACACACACATATACACACACACACCCTCCCATATATACACACACACACAAACACCTCCACACACACCCCCTCCCACACACACACATATATACACACACATACACACACACACACCCTCCCACACACACACCCTCCCACACACACACCCTCCCACACACACACACACATATACACACACACAGGAAACCCTTAAACAAGATTAGATTTTTAAAAAAGAAAGTTTAACAGTTTAAGCCCCAGTTTTCTCTGTGGTTTCCCCATTTCCCCCCAAAAACCTAAATGTCCAAACGCAAGTAAAAATGCATGTCTGTAAACATGGGAATGTCATGCTCCACATACACAGGTATTACATGTATGTTTCCTTACCGATCAGAATCGCCAACAAAACTCTGTTGGTGTTGATTGCGGTTGACTTCGCACCATCACTGGTCGGAGGGACCTCCAACACCGTCATAGTCTCTGTCTCTGTCCTTCCTTCTCGATTGCCTTTTGGGTCGATATAGACTGAGTTGGGATCAAATGGTTTGGACCGGGAGAGAGATGGGAAAGAGGGGAGAGAGAGAGAGAGAGAGAGTAGAACAGCTGCAGAGAGGAAGAGAGAAAGAAAGGGGGATAGAGAGAGGGAGAGAGAGAGATGAACAAACTGCAGAGAGAGAGAGGGAGAGGGGAGAGAGAGGGGGAGAGAGAGAGAGAGGGATAGAGAGGGGGATAGAGAGGGGGAGAGAGAGAGAGAGGGAGAGAGACAGGGATAGAGAGAGGGAGAAGAGCAGAGAGAGAGAGAGAGACAGGGATAGAGAGAGGGAGAAGAGCAGAGAGAGAGAGAGAGAGGGATAGAGAGATGGGGAGAGGCAGTGAGGAGGGTCAGAGACTCTATTGGAATCCACAGATCCTCACTCCACATCAGCGAGTATTCTAACTGTAAGAAAACAGTGTAGATGCGGATCAATGGCTCTTTTTATTCCCCTTTTAATCTTAAACTCTCTCTTTTTCTCTCCCTTTTCTTAACCCCTTGCTCTTCCTTCTTGCTGGGTTAAGGTTAATGTTTCTTCCCTTCTTCCCCCCCCCACCACCACTCCTCCTCCTCTCCCTCCCTCCCCCCTTCAGCACAGAAATGCGCAGGGCGCTGTGTTGTGTGTGTGTGTGTGTGTGTGGGGCTGTCAGGGTGAGAGCATTTTTTTGCAGTGAGGCTCTGCATTCTGCATTGCAGTCACAAAGCTCTGCTATCCCTGTCACCACCTGCAGGGAAACCATCCACAGAGTGTGGAGAGACAGATTGTCGGGGGGTTAGGTAATAACTCAGCAATTTGCTGTGGGATTTGTATACCATTTGATTTATTATAATCATCATAATAATAATCCTGGCATTTGATACGGCGCCTTATCACATCGTCGAGACGTCTCAGAGCGCTTCACAGGATATACTGTAAAGTGAATTGACTGTACATTTTGTGGGTGAAACGCGGCGGCCAATTGCGCACAGCAGCGTCCCCACAAACACTTGTGGATTGAGTGACCAATTTTTTTTAAGGGAGTATTATCCCCGAAAAGCGATCCACCAATCAACTAACCGGGTTTCTACTCACTGTTCTGCTGCGTAAACAGAGGCGTGTGTGTGGAGTAAGGAAACTTGCATAAGGTTTCGTCCTGCCTGGGAATCAAACCTGTTACAACAATAATTGCTTTATTTATCTCTCGCAGGTTATTTATTATATTGATGGAATTTCAATCTGTTTTTCAAATCAAGTTTCTCATTTTTTTTGTTAATCCCCCAAAAAACTTTTTGAAGTTTTCCTGACTCCTTAAAAACTGCCTCAGCATCATTACGTCAAAACAATCTGTTTCAGCGGGGATTTGAGAATAACATAACCACAATCGGTGTCACTCTGGTGAGAGTCACAGCCACAGAGACTCTGACTCTGAGATACGGGCTCTCTCTCTCTCTCTCCCTTCTACCCTCCCTCCCCCCAGTTCTGCACTGGAGGGACAGCCAGAGTCTCGTGCGCGAGAGAGAGAGAGAGCGCTGCACTATCAGAGGGACTGTCCTTTGGATGAAACGTTCAATTGAGCTCCTGTCTGTGCCCTATTCAGGTGGACATTAAATATCTTGTTGGGTTCTTAGTAAATCATGTCCTGTAGCCCAGTGGTTAGAGAGCTTGACTCACAAGCGAGAGGACCAAGGTTTGATTCCTGAGCGGGGCAAAACCTTAGGCAAGTTTCCTTACTCCACACGCCTCGATTACCCAACATAAATAGGAACCTGGCTGTTAGTCGTTGGGGAATTTCTTTCCAGGGTTAATAATCTCTACAAAAAAATGTTTCATAATAATTATTTGGTCATGAATGTTTGTGGGACGCTGCTGTGCACAATTGGCTGCCGGGTTTTGCCTACAAAATATACAGTCAATTCACTTTATAGTATATTCTGTAAAGCACTTTGAGATGTCTTAACGACGTGATAATATTAATTGCAAGGATTATTATTCTCATGCTCAAATTATCATGAGACTGAATGATATTATGTCCAATGGATTTATTAGGAACTGATAAGTTTCATACAATCAGTTGGATTGTATTAGCTAATAGTACAGAAAGCACAATACATACCTGTCCTGGCAGCTGACACAAGACGTTACTTGATTGGCTTCAACTCAGCTCAAGTACAGATTAATTAACCTTTACTAAGATGATGTCTTGTGTCTGTTTCCTGCTTTACCCAAATCATCAACGTTAAATCATCCCATCGTTTTGATTTTGCAGTTTCAGTGTCCCGTTTTTTGGTCTGACTCACCTGGAAACTCTTGCATATGTGTGTGTGATTGTGCATGTATGTGTGTGTGTGTGTGTGAATGTACGTGTGTGTGCATGTGAGTGTGTCCTTGTGTGTGTATGTGTCTGTGTGGGTGTGCATGTGTGTGTATGTGTGATTGTGCATGTGTGAGTGTGTCCTTGGGTGTGTGTATGAGTGTGTCCTTGTGTGTGTGAGTGCATCCTCGTGTGTATGCCCTCGCATGTGTGAGTGTGTCCTTACGTGTGTGTGCATGTCCTTGTGTGTGTAGAAGCATGTCCTTGTGTTTGTGAGTATGTCCTTGTGTGTGTGTCCTCATGTGTGTGTGTGTGTCCTGTGTGTGTGAGTGTATCCTTGTGTGTGTATATCCTCATGTGTGTGTGTCCTTGCGTGAGTGTGTCCTAGTATGTGTGAGTGTGTCCTTGTGGGTGTGTGTGTGCATGTCCTTGTGTGTGTGCCTTTGGGTGTGTAAGCGTGTCCTTGTGTGTGTGAGTATGATCTTGTGTGGGTGTTGTGTGTGTGTCATCCTGTATGTACGATTATGTCCTTTTGTGTGTGAGTGTGTTTTCGTGTGTGTATGTCCTCATGTGTGTGAGTGTGTCCTTGTGTGGGTGTCCTTATGTGTGTGTGTGTGCATGTCCTTGTGTGTGACCTCTTGTGTGTGAGCGTGTCCTTGTGTGTGAGTATGTCTTTGTGTTGAATGTACAGTTGAATGTGAACAAGACTGAGACCCTCCTGATTGGCTCACACCAGCGCCTCCGCACCTCAGGCTCCGGCAACATCACCCTCCATGGTTGGACACTACAACTCACCGCCAGTCAGGAACCTGGGGGTCTTGTTCGACCCTCAACTGTCTTTTCTCCCCCACATGTCTCTCTCTCTCTCTCTCTGTGTATCTCTCTCTCTCTCTCTGTGTATCTCTCTCTCTCTCTCTCTGTGTATCTCTCTCTGTGTATCTCTCTCTCTCTGTCTCTCTGTGTGTATCTCTCTCTGTCTCTCTCTCTCTCTCTCTGTGTGTCTCCCTCTCGCACTCTTGTGTTTCTGTGTCTCTCTGTGTCTATGAGTGTCTGTGTCTCTCTCTCTGGGCTCAGGCACTGTTTGCTCCGCTATTAAAGGAACCCTTCACTCTATCTCTCGGGGGGGGGGGGGGGGGGGGGCGGCTCCTTTAAAAGCACTGCGATTCCCGGCCACGTTGTGTGTGTCCTTCAGCCCAATATTAGGTCATTGAAGCCGCAGCAAACAAGGCTGAGCCAATGCAGACTCGCTCACTGGTGCCTCTCCCTCCTCTTCACTCTCTCCCTCCTCTTCACTCTCTCCCTCCTCTTCACTCTCTCCCTCCTCTCTCTCTCTCTCTCCCCACCTCCTTCTCCCTTTATCTCTCTCTCTCCCTCCCTCCCTCCTTCCCACCCCCTTCTGCCTCCCTCCTCTATCCTTATATCTCTCCTCTCTCTCTCTCCCTTTCTCACATTCCCAATGCTGTGACCGCTGATTCCATCTGTCCCTAAAGCCGAATTGTCCCTAAAGGCTCTCTCTCTCTCTCTCTGTCTCTCTCAGGTCTGGCCCGGAGCCAACCGGGTTAGCGATGTGGTTGCAGGATGTTCATTCAGACACAGACACTGGGCTATGGTCCTTTACACTCACCACAATTCCCCTCTACAACACCTCACTGAGCCCCTCACCATCCCAACTGTTACTTCCCCTCCTTTTAAAGAAATGGTTAGAGCACTCCCTGGTAAGCAGTGGGTTTGATTCCGGACGGGG